GACGTATGGAGACCTTTTTTGTGTTCTTTTCCTTCATTGTTGTTGTCACATTTGCTTAACCTTTCCTTTTTTTTCGTATAGTATGACTGACAGTATATTGTCATTCTTTTCCTTGTTATCAGTTTTCTTTTTCTTTTCGTCATCCAACTTTCGTATTTAGTAAGTATATTTTTTTTACCTTGAAGACAATTTCTTTTGTTATTATTAATTATGACCAAATAAAAGGTCGTATTTAAACCATGTCCGTTTATGGTGAATACCAAATATCCGTTCCGATACAAGGTCATATGAAGCTATATAGTTAACGAGACTCAAATGTTCTTTATGTATATGTGTTTGATAACTCAATGTGTTGTACTACTCGAGAGAACGAGGAAAAAAGAAAATTCTTCTTCCATTTTGACCATCGGCTATCGCATGATTTGTCCGAGTATGAATACATTCATATAATACCATGGATTGTAAGTACAAAAAAAAGAATTTCTTTTTTTTTAAAGGTCTTCTAAGATTAAATTGAATGTAAGTAGTGAAAAATGTCACGTTTTTTAAATCAATCGGATCATTGATTGCATATGTCACAATAAAAGACAAGGCGTCGCATCGATCAATGATGTGTGACATTAACTATATACATATATACATTCCACCTGAAAGTATTTGACTCTATTGCAGTACTCGACACATGGTTCGCTTGAGTTAGATTAGGGAAATGTATTCGTTCATGTATATTCGAGTATCTATTATTGTATTGATATAAAAAAATTTAATAAGTTGACATGTGTTTTGAAAAGATCAGCATGAAATATCTAATTGTGCATATGTGATCTTATTCTCTTTTTCTTTTTCCATATTTCATTCGTTCATTCTATATTGTCTAATTTGCTAGAATGTTGCTTGATTGGTCGTTTTATTTTTTTTTCTAATAACATATTTTATTGATTGGAGAAAATAAAAATTTCTATTTCGTTTGTTGTTGTTTTATTTCTCTAGCGTTTGCATTTGGTTCACCGATGACATTAATGAATCATCATCATCAACAACAATATATTCCACCGTCATGGTCAACAACAGAAAATAATGCACGATTTCTTTCTATTGATTCTCAACAACAACAACATCATCATCATTGTCGTCCAACATTTTCAAATGAAACAAATAATAATAATAATAATAATAATAATAATAATCATCATCATTATAATAGTATATCATCACATATTCAACCAAAATTAGAACCAAATAATATAATAACAAATGGTAATAATGAAACAATTATTGATGATCAACATACAGATACACATTCATCAATAATAAATGATAAACAAACAGTTGAATGTGTTGTATGTGGAGATAAATCCAGTGGAAAACATTATGGACAATATACATGTGAAGGTTGTAAATCATTTTTTAAACGTTCAGTTAGACGTAATCTTAATTATACATGTCGTGGAAAGTAAGTTTAGTGTTATTAAATTCAATAGAGGTAAAAAAAAAATGTTAAGTAGAAACCATTTCTGTTTATAAATGGCACTGTACTTTAGAAGAACGGTGATATTTTCATAGAATTCCGAATGATATTAGAGACAAAACGAATTTCTCGATAGACATAATATTTCTCTCATAAAATTCAAAAACAATTGAAGAAATTATTAGATTTCAACACATTCTTTAGGTTCCTAGCAGAGAATCAGAGTAATGCTGATCTCTTACAATTTGATTAATAAGCTTTTTTCCTAGTCGAAAATGTCCTATTGATACTCATCATCGTAATCAATGTCAATATTGTCGATTTTCTCGTTGTTTAAAAATGGGCATGAGACGTGAAGGTAACAAGATCAATTATTTTTATTTCACATGTATATACATAGATATATATTTTTTTCTTTGAAAAGCTGTTCAACGTGGTCGTGTTCCATCCGTAGCAAATACTTATGGACATTTTACATTTCCACCTGATGCACATAATTATTTAAATAATTATATCTCACATTTAGTTCGTGCTGAACCATATTCATTTATTTCAAATCGTTTACAACAAACATCATCATCATCAACACCAGCCACAGGTAGTTCATCAAATTCAAATTCATCAATATCATCGGAAAATAATTCAAATGTAATATCAATGGATAATGCATGTGAATTAGCAGCAAGTCTTTTATTTGGCGCTGTTGAATGGGCACGTAATATACCTTTTTTTCGAGAATTAACATTAAATGATCAATGTCTATTATTACAAGCAACATGGAATGAATTATTTTTATTAAATGCAAGTCAATGTCATATGCCTATACAAGCAACACAATTATTAATATTAAATGGTATACATACAAATACAATAGATGCAGAAAAAGTTCAAACATATTTAGATCAAACAAGAAAATTTCAAGAACAAGTAGAAAAATTTAAAATAATGCATTTAGATCATGCAGAATATTCATGTTTAAAAGCAATAATTCTTTTTACGCCAGGTAGATAAAAAATTTATGAAAAAAACATTCATAAAAGAAAAAACTTTGTTTTTATTTTTTTATTTTAGATGCACCGGGTTTATCTGATCCAGGACATATTGATAATTTACAAGAAAAATCTGTTCTTGCTTTAGAAGAATATATTAAAAGTCAATATCCATCACATATGAATCGTTTCGGTAAATTACTTCTTCGTTTACCATCATTAAAATTAGTTAGTTCACATGTTATAAAAGAAATCTTTTTTGTACGCTTGGTTGGTAAAACACCAATTGAATCACTTATACGAGATATGTTGTTAACAAATAATACATTTCCAAATGGAACAGTTTCAACAACAACAACAACAACAGCATCAACATCATCATCAACAACAACGCCTGCTTTTAATATTAATTCAACTCAAGTATCAAATCAATATTCAACATTTCCACAGTAATAGAAAACTATTTTTATTTTGACTAGAGAAGAAGTTTTTTTTTTTTTTGTAAAGCAAATGAATTATTCGTAAAAGTTTCAATTGGCAGACGTCTCCTTCTTTTTCTTCTTTTTTTTTTTCTTTTTTTTTTTTTGTTTTGTCATATCAGAAATAAAAATCTATCTCTATATAAATATATATATATATATATATATGTTAGCAATATGGCATCTGCTATTTCAATCGAATGAGTTAAACAATTGTCAAAAGGCGTTCACCCGGAAGTGATCTTTTCTCTTTCTTAGATTGAAATTGACAGGAAAAATCGATTTAATTATATTTGATCCGGTTTTAATATTAATAATTGATTAGATCTTTTGAGAAAAAAATTGTCTTTTTTTTGTTATTATCAGAATGTCTAAATCAAGATTAGAATAATCAAGTCTGAATTAGGATTAAAAAAATATGATTATTGGACAAGAAAAAACGAATAAATAATGAAAATAATGTTTACTAAAGAAAAATACTAAGATCTTAAACAATTGATGAAATATAAAGTAAATATTTCCTTTTATTTGAGATCGTAATAACTTAGATATTGATTCATCTTGAGATTAGATTTTGGACTTGATAATCATAAGATTTTTTAATTGACATCATTCATTTATTAGAACGTATTGTTCTGGTCTAATGGAGCGTCTATTTGCAAATCTTTAAGTAGACTTAACAGGTGATCATAACAAAGCTGTCATATTAATATATTTATTGCAAAAGTTGTAGACTAGTCATCATAGTTTTTGCTTATTTGTTTTTCCTTCGAGACGTCATTCTCAATAACAAGCGAAGAAGTGATTGTGATTTGAAAAGTTATTATTTGGTAAGAAACAATTTTCTACGACTCCAATAGAAATTGTGGATACCATTCCTAAACCTGTACACAGCAGGATAAATTAGCGAAATATTGCATATCAACTTCTGAAGGAAAGAATATTGAAAAGAGCACAGCAATTAATAAAATATATCGATGTCTAACAAAAATTTCAGAATATTTTCACACATTACTCGTTCAGTTTATGTATTAACAATTCTATTTTTATTTTCGTTATGTTTTGCAAACATCTCAATAAAATTGAGAATATTTATCTACCATATCAGGTAAAATTTAAAAGTATTTTATTATTATAAAATATTTCTAATGAATGGTCATAACATAACATTGATTTTTACTCTGTTGAGTTGAATTCAATATAATGGTTTGTAAATTTAGGCGAGTCAAAGAAACACAGTTACTCTGTTTCGACGAAGGCTAAATATAAAGACTACATTAAATCTTGCAAACAATATATTTCAAAATATTTAACTATTATTCTAGAAAATAATATAGTAGACAATTTCTCTACTGGTCCTTTATCACATTTACTTTCAGCATTCAATCTAAGCATTTACTAACTTGAATCTTCTCATAATCTATCACAAAATTCATGTAGATTATTGAACCTAGATGCTTGTCACATCACATTTCGCGGTAATGGAGTGAGTGACAAAGTATGCAACATCCAGTTTATACATTAGAAAATAACACAGTGAGGGTAGTCTTTACTCATTTATTTCATAGTTATTTACAGCATTGAGTCTTTCGTTATATATCAGACTGATGAATTGCATAATATGCCGACGAAATGACGATTATGTTTTCAAATATTCAACATTCTCTAAATTATTCTTAATACAATAAAATCTATTAAATGATATTCTGCAAGTATTGTAATGAAGCATTATCGTATAAGTGAGAAATCTTTATTTTTCGAAATATTTTGAAGTACACTCCTCCTTGCAACACTGAATGAAACCATTCATAAACATTATCGATTTATTGCGCCATCTATGATAATAAAGATCTATCATTCAAATTGAAAGTTTAGGAAATAATCAAAAAGAAAACTCTTTTTAATTATCATAAGTTTATTCAATTGATTATCTTCTCAAAAAAGTTCAATTAGATAGAGGCAATTACTCATCAAACCAATCAAAATAATTTCATTGCATTCATTCATTCATCTTTTGTCTGTTTGCTTAAACTTTCTCAATTTTACCATCAAATTTTTATCTAGATGAAGTTATATAATTTAACTTTACAACGACCCGGTGGTATAACTCATGTCATTCATGGAAATTTTTCTGGTCCTAAACAACAGGAAATAATTGTTTCACGTGGTTGTGTTCTTGAAGTTCTTAAGCCTGATCCAAGTACAGGTAAAATTCATACATTATTGACATGTAACGTATTCGGTATAATACGTGCACTTCATCCTATTCGTTTAACTGGTAGTAATCGAGGTATGCATAATTAATTGATAATCATTTTTTGTTTCTAAAAAAAATTTTTTTTTTTATGTCGTGTGTAGATTATATTGTCATTGGTAGTGATTCAGGTCGAATACTTATTCTCGAATATAATGGACAAAAAAATACATTAGAAAAGGCAAGAAACGTTTTTATTAAAAAAAAAAAGTTTTTGAGAAACTTTTCTTCAGTTAGGTACATCAAGAAACATTCGGTAAATCAGGTTGTCGAAGAATTGTACCTGGACAATATTTAGCTATTGATCCAAAAGGACGTGCCGTACTTATTAGTAAATATTGAATTTTCATGGTATATATATTTGAATAATAAATCATTTCTTTTCAGGTGCCATTGAAAAACAAAAATTAGTTTATATACTTAATCGTGATGCACAAGCACGTTTAACAATCTCATCACCATTGGAAGCACATAAAGCAAATACAATAACATTTCATACAGTTGGTGTTGATGTTGGATTTGAAAATCCGGTATTTGCTTGTTTAGAAGTTGATTATGAGGTTTGAATTTTACATTCCATATTTTGTTTGTTTTGATAAACAAAAAATTATGTTTTTTAGGAATGTGATAATGATCCAACGGGTCAAGCAGCAAAAGATATTAAACAATCATTAACATTTTATGAACTTGATTTAGGTCTTAATCATGTTGTACGAAAATATTCAGAACCATTAGAAAAATTTGCTAATTTACTTATAACTGTACCTGGTGGTACGGAAGGACCAAGTGGTGTACTTGTATGTTCAGAAAATTATATTACATTCAAAAATTTTGGTGCTCAACCAGATATTCGCTGTCCAATACCAAGACGTCGAGTAAGAATATTTAATAATAAAAAACAAATTGTGTTTTTTTTAATGAAGTTTTTGTTTATTTCAAAATTAGAATGAAATTGATGATCGAGAACGTACTATGATTATTGTTGCAACAGCAACACATAAAACAAAAAATATGTTCTTTTTTCTTGTTCAAACTGAACAAGGTGATATATTTAAAATTACACTTACTCATGATGCAGATATGGGAATGGTAAGAAGATCTCTTAATGTTTGTTGACTACATTTGTTAAGGTACCTCTTTAAAGAAAACCATTAAGAAAACTTTTCTTCGAATGATGCTAATTTTGTAAAATCGACCAAACTATTACATAGGTTCAATATTTTCAAGAGAAAATAAACGCATATCTCAATTTAATTGAAGTACTCATTAATAAAGTTTGAACTCAATCGATCTTACCGCGTACGAAAAAAGAGTGAGAGAACCTGAATTCTTTGTGAAAATCGCAAAGAAAGTTGTACTTTTCGATTTTTTAGCATAGCATTGAAGTTTTTAAGTGAAGAAAAAGTGGTTTTGCCTTCTTTAAATGTACTTATTAGATAGAATGTAGTCAAATCTACATATCGAACATAAAAAATGAATCTCCTTAAGTTTAGTTTTTCTTTTTATATAAAAATGCATTTGTATAAATAAATGATCACTTTTTGAGACTATAGAGTCAATGGTATAGAATAATAGCTCAGAGAGAATTTTAGATTGTTAAATGAGATATTTCTGACTCTTATTTATTGAATATCTTTGAAAAACGTTATGATATAAGGCTGAAAATTTCATGAAATTTAAATATACCTGACATAAGATCGATTTTTGAGGTGGTTTAATAAAAGCGGCATATGATGATTTTCATTTTGAACGTGTTGCCATATGATTTTATTGATTATAATAATGAATTTTCCCTGTCTGATGCTGCTTATTAAATAAAAGTTAAATTAATAAGACATATCATGCTTAAGAATGAATTACCACAACGTTTTAAGTGTACTTCGATTAATAATAGTATACTTCTTGTCAGAAGCCGAAATTTTTAAACAATCTGAATAACGTTTAGTAATCTAATTATGAGTGAAGTTTCAGCAAAAGAAAACATGTTTTGTGTTTTTTAGAAATTTCTATGCTATTATCTGAATACTTATTTTTTAGGTAACAGAAATCCGTTTAAAATATTTCGATACTGTACCTGTTGCTTCGGCAATGTGTGTTCTTCGAACTGGTTTTCTTTTTATTGCATCTGAATTCAGTAATCAGTAAGTAATTATAAGAGCAGATGATTTTTTTTGTAATTAATGTTTGTTTTTCGTTGTATTAAATAGTTATCTTTATCAAATAACTCAATTAGGTGATGCTGATGATGAACCTGAATTTAGTTCATCTGAACGACTTGAAGAAGAAGATACATTTTTTTTTGTACCACGTAAATTAAAAAATCTAATATTAGTCGATGAAATGGATAGTTTATCACCTATAACTGCTTGTCATATTGCTGATCTTGCAAATGAAGATACACCACAAATTTATGTAACATGTGGTCGTGGACCTCGATCAACACTTCGAATTCTTCGTCATGGTTTAGAAGTAAAGAAAATAACAAAAAAAATCTTTTGCACAAAAAAAAGAATTTTATTTTTCTAGGTAACTGAAATGGCTGTTTCAGAATTACCTGGTAATCCCGATGCTGTTTGGACTGTAAAAAGACGAGCTGATGGTAAATAGAAATGTCTTTAGATAAAATTGATTTTTTTTTCTTTTCTTTTTGTTTTTAGATCCATATGATGCATATATTGTTGTTTCATTTATTAATGCTACATTAGTTTTATCAATTGGTGAAACTGTTGAAGAAGTTACTGATTCCGGTTTTCTTGGTACAACACCAACATTATCATGTAGTCAATTAGGTGATGATTCATTACTTCAGGTTTGTATTATAATTATTGATTCAAATGGGTTTGTGAGATTTCTTTTTTGTTTATTAGATTTATCGTGAAGGTATTCGACATATTCGAGCTGATAAACGTGTTAATGAATGGCGTGCACCAGGAAAAAGAACAATTACTAAAGCAGCTGTTAATCAACGACAAGTTGTTATTGGTTTAACTGGTGGTGAACTTGTTTATTTTGAAATGGATGCTGTATGATTAAGAAAAAAAACTATATATTCATTGATTCGTTTTTTTGTTTTAGACCGGTCAATTGAATGAATATACTGAAAGAAAAGAAATGCCAGGTGATATTATTTGTATGGCTTTAGGTTCAGTACCTGAAGGTGAACAACGTTCACGTTTTCTTGCTGTTGGACTTTCAGATCGTACCGTTCGAATTATATCACTTGATCCTCAAGTTAGTAGGAAAAAAATAGAACAAATTGAAAAATCTATGTTTTTTTTTGTGTGTAATTAATAGGATTGTTTAAATCGATTGAGTATGCAAGCATTACCAGAGGCACCTGAATCTTTATGTATCGTTGAAATGAAAACAACTGAAGGTGGTGTTATTGTTGATACAACTAGTGGTCGTGAACAACAAGTCGGACCAACTGGCACCTCATTTTTAAATATTGGTTTACAAGTAAGAAGATAATAATTTTGTAAATGAAATCTATCGGATATCGTTTGTGTTTTTTCTTCAGAATGGTGTACTTCTAAGAAGTGTTCTCGATTCAGTCACAGGTGATATGTCGGATACTAGGACGCGTTATATTGGTTCAAAGCCAGTGAAATTATTTCGAATTTTAATGCAAGGAAATGAAGCTGTAAGTATAATCTAAAGCAATTTTGACATTGATCTCTCAATTTTAAGACTTTCGTCTCTTTTTCTCTCACAGAAAAAAAAATCGATTTTTCTAAACAAAGACACTTTATGAGAAAAATATATAAGCATAACCCGTTCGGTGTCTAGTTTTTAAAAAGTTTCTTGAGAAATCATCATGAGTGTTTCTAGAGCTCTCCAGAGAAAGACCAATGTCATATTGATACAAAAATTACAAGCGTAGTTGTGATTAAAGCCCTTATCCATAGCCCAACATGTGGCTAGAAGATCACTTGATAAGACTCTAGATAAATTTTGAATTAATACGTAATCGAACAATGTTTGATACTCATTTCAGAAAGTTCTCGAGGTAAATATGTAAAGAAAAATGCCAAAATCAGTTTTCGCATAAATTGTTGAATTCTAAACAAATTTCTTTTGGGTAGTGTTCGTTCTTTTTATTTGATCGTCTGTGTCAAATCAATTATCGGTTTTCTAGAACATTATCATAAAACTTGTTAAATTCTATTCTGTAATAGGTATTAGCTATGTCAAGTCGTACATGGCTTAGTTATACGTATCAAGGTCGTTTTCATTTAACACCCTTATCTTATGAATCTCTTGAACATGCATCGGGTTTTGCATCTGAACAATGTCCAGAAGGTATTGTTGCTATAGCTGGTAATACACTTCGGTAAGTGAAATAAGAAAATATGTTCTTTTTCTTTTTTAAGAATTAAATTTTTTTTTCTTATAGAATTTTAACATTAGAAAAACTTGGTGCAATATTTAATCAAGAAATTCGTAAACTTAAATTGACACCACGTCGTTTTATAATTCATCCTGAAATGAATTGGCTTTATTTAATTGAATCTGATCATGCATCATATACAGAAATAAGTAAACAACAAAATCGTGAACAAATAGGAAAAGTTTGTTTCTTTATAAGAATATATTTATTATCGAAAAAAAGAACGAGAATTTTATTATTTTTTTTTAAGGAAATGATTGATGCAGCTGATGATGCAGATAAAGAAGCTGTACGTGAAGTAGCTAATGCAATGTTATCAGAAAAACTTCCTGAAGAACTATTTGGTGCACCAAAAGCAGCTAATGGTATGTGGGCAGCACAATTACGTGTTATGGATCCAATTAGTGGTGATACAAAATTTGTTTATGAATTTGACCAAAATGAATCAGCTGTTTGGTAAGAGAAATTTTCATTTGTAAATTTTGTATTTATCGTCTTTTTTTCTGTTCCAGTTTAAGTTTAATGCGTTTTGATACTCGACCAGCAGATACATTTTTATTAGTTGGTGTTGCACGTGATCTTACTCTTTCACCACGTTCACATCTGGGTGGAATGATATATTGTTTTCTTGTATTAGAGAATGGCGAACGACTTCATTTTATTCATAGAACTGTAGTAGATGAAATTCCAAGTATGAAAGAAAAAAATTTATTTATAATAAAATATAAGTTTTCTTTTGTAGCGGCTATATGTCCATTTCTTGGACGAGCTTTAGTTGGTGTTGGATCTTGTTTACGTATTTATGAAATTGGCAAAAAGAAATTACTTAAAAAATGTGAAAATAAAGTAAGTAAAATGAAGTTTGTTTTTTAAATTATGTCTTCTGTACAACGAAACTCAATATTTTTTTTTAAATGAAATATTGAAATCGTACGGAAGAAAATTAATAGAAATGATTTTAGCTCGTTAAATGTTTTCGTACATCTTGACGTGTATAAATCATTTACATTATATTCCATTTGATAGATACGATCAACGATAAGATATTGATAAATGTGTTTGTAATGACAGTATTTTTGCTTGTTATTTTTACTTCTTACTTTGAATAAAAATATAGAAATATCATGTTTCAAGCAAAATTTTTCCCAAGTTGATCTTTAAATTAACTAGTAAACTTCAAATATTCTATATAGGCATTTGTATTCAATATACCATCTAGTGCCCATGTAGAAAAAAAAAGTTGTGCGAAAAATCGTTTATAATCACATGACATTGATTAAAAATGACTTTTTTCCGCATAATTTCGAATCAATTTATATCAAAAAATAATGAGGATAATGAGTGAAATTTTGATATGCTTGATTAGCTTTTGATTACAATCGATTAATAAGCGATTCTTTTTTTGGTGCGATTTTTATATAATTATTTTTTTTTACATGGATGAAGGAAAGTAGTAACATTACCTTGTGAAACAGAATCAAAACGAAAGGTTAACCTACAGGGGTGAAAGTTTGAATTCCGTGCACAGACTGCATATGAATAAAGTCTCGTTATAATATATAAACTATTTACTAATTGCATTTCTGAAGGATTGAGCAAAATGATGGTGAAGCAATATGTTTCGAACTATATAAAATAAAACAAGTTCACTATGATTAGCAGCTTCGACAGTCTAAAACCTTTTTCGTCATAGATTTTCTCTTCACTTTCACTGTTACATTGTGTAAATTAAAACGTCGCAAAAAAGGGTTTTTTTGCCATTTATCTACTTTTTCATAGCAGCTATATTGTGTTTTACATTTTAATCTCTCAAGTTTTGAAGTATACTTCAATCAAAATCTAAAATTTGATGTTTATTTCATTTTATAGTAGGATAGGACATAATAATAATAAATATATATATATGCATTATTTAGAACATTCCAAATCAAATAGTTACGATACATTCATTGGGTAATCGTATATTTGTAACTGATGTACAAGAAAGTATGCATATTCTTCGTTATAAAACAATGGAAAATCAATTAGTTGTATTTGCTGATGATACATGTCCACGTTTTACTATTGCTTGTTGTTTATTAGATTATAGTACTGTATGTGTAACTGATAAATTTGGTAATATTGCTATTGTAAGTAATGATTTCCTTTTGAAATATTTGTTTTTTTCTGGCATCTACTTTTTTAGTTACGTGTTCCTGTTGATGCAAATGATGATGTTGAAATTGATCCAACGGGAAGTAAAGGTTTATGGGATCGAGGTCTATTAAATGGAGCATCAAATAAAGTATTTTCTTTTTCTTTATTTGAATCAATTTTCTAAAATAAATATTTATTTTAGTGTGATTTACTTGCTCATTTCTATGTTGGAGAAATGGTTACATCTGTTCAACGAGCAACATTAATTCCTGGTGGATCAGAATCTCTGGTTTATACGACATTATCAGGTTCAATAGGTGTACTTATACCATTTGCATCAAATGAGGTACAACAGAAAAATTTAGAAATGTGTGAAATGATGACTAAAAATTAGTCGTTTACAATTCGGATAATCAATGACGAAAATTTCTTTTTATTTATGTCTGATCACACATTAAACGCTTTTATTTGACAAGATTATTTCGAGAATCATGTTGTTATTCTTTTTTTTCTTATAGGATTATGATTTTTTTCAACATCTTGAAATGCATATGCGAGCTGAATATCAAACATTAGTTGGTAGAGATCATCTTGCTTTTCGATCATATTATTATCCAGTTAAGGTAAAGAAAGAAGACGATGATTGTGAATTAGTTTTTAGTAGAATAAATTCATTGAAGCAATACTGGAAAAGTAGTATAGGAAAACTCAAGAATAATAACCATGAGAACACGTTGACCCTTTCTTTAAAAGGGTTATTTCAAACTTAAGTCATTAATATTTATTTTCCTTTCTTAATCATGACTAGTGGAAAAAAAAGATAACCAGATGTAGTATTAATATTTATTTCCCGATTTCAAAAAAAAAAGAAAAGAAAGAAAGATTTCACTCAAAAAACAAGAATTACTAAAGAGAAGAAGATCAAATGTAAATAAAATGTTCTCCTTTGTTGTTTTAGAACGTCCTTGATGGCGATCTTTGTGAACAATATAATCACCTTGATATAAATAAACAGAAAATGATTGCCGAAGGTCTTGATCGAACAACAAGCGAAGTCGCTAAGAAACTTGAAGATATTCGTACACGCTTTGCTTTCTAGTCAATAGCAATCGTCGGCAAAAATCAAACAAAAAAAAACTTTTGTTCTTGTGTTCTTCTTCTCATTCTGTATTAATGTTTGTACTCATAAATGTTGTTCATATAGGTAATCCTTGTTTGAATATTTGATTTGAAACGAAACAAAAAAAAAACACGCAAAACAAATTTAACTGACTTAAACCATATCTTAATAAAGAAAAAAAAATAATGAATGAATAAATAAATAAATAAATAAATTATGCATAAGAATCAAAAAAATAACCAAATCGATAACCCATATTAACAACACTTCGTGGCATACCAACTGCATTTAAACCAGAAGCAATAAAACCACTAAGACCAGAATTCACTATTGATGGTCTATTGTACATTGGTAAATAATTTACTCTATCATGCCTCGGTGAATAAAATCGTCCATGATGATAATTACGAGTTGATGCAGCAACATAATTATTCATATTTCTTGCAACATTAGCAAAATGATTTCGCATATTTCGATTCATACCTGTTTCTATATCTATTGATGTAATGAACGAACTTCGATGAATGAATAACTAAATATATGTTAAACTAATGCTTGTTTTTATTCGTATGAGGTTTGCTGTCGATTAAACGATTAATTAGATGAATAAAAAATATATGCGATCGAAAGAGGAAAAACATCCAGGTATTTAACCGCATGATTTGCATACTGACATGTTTCCAATCATCCGTAACCGATTGTATTCTATGGTAAGAATGTTCTTCATGTCTGGCCTTGTACTCTTCAGCAGTATCTGGGTAATTAAACATTGCTATGCACATTGTCATAATACAAGCAAATGTCCGCAAACAAACCACGAAAGCAAAAGAAAGAAAAGCATTTGATTTTATCTATCTAGTTTGTAGATGCTTTTCTCCATGGATTGTAAACAAATTACAAGGCAGTATTGGATATTTTTTTTTTTTGATTGATCGGACAAAACCTATGAATATAGTGAAAAAAATATAACCTTGATTTGGATAGTATTCTTTATTATTCGTTTGTTGTTCTATTTTCTTGGCAGTATGGGATAGAAAATTAATCATAGTTGTACTATTAACAAGAACTAAAGCATAGTTTCTTATCTAATTCAAAACTTTTAGGTTTCATTCTTTTAAATATCGAAAATCTGTCTTATGCATTGACAGCAGATCATTTCATTTATCTAGAAATGAATATTCTGCTTTAGTCTGGATGTTGAAACCTTGTTCAAATGTTTTTATTTTGAATTAATCGCTTCTTTTTTTGTCAAAAGATAATTGGATCGTACTAAGGAATTCAAGACTTCTATATAAAAAAAACTATTTCCATTGTTCAGGTTAAGTTTTCTTCTTTAGAGAAGAAGCTATGATTGAATATCAAGATTGATCAATGCAAGAATATCGAATTTTTTTTTCTAAATTTAAGTACTTGATATTTTAATAACAACGATGGATGAACATGAATTTCTAATTCAATTGAATAATTCAATATGACAACAGCAGAAAAAAAGAAATCCTGTTGCCAACGTCGATAAAATGAAGATGCATCATATACAATTACTATTGACAAATGCCAACAAAAAAAATCCCAAATGTCGAATTTATACTGAATAATATTGAAAAAAATCTTTTGTTCTGTCTGACATCTTCCTATGTAAACTGATCTTTTACTTCAGTTTTGCTTTTGTTTAAGATTAATATTTCACTTTGATTGAAAAAGATTTCTATGTTTATATTATATCAATGATGTTATAATAAAAATCTTTCATTTAGAACTTTTGCTTGTTTTTAGACAATGTACGTTTCTTTTATTAGTATTGATCGACTAACAAGATAGCGTGAATTTGTTTTAGGTGAATAGACAAGAAACCTTAGAGGTGAACAAAAGGACAAATTTTTCTTTTCGTTAGAATTGTAAATGATAGAATGTGATAGTTTTGATCTAACTGCAATAAATGAGAAACGGAATAGAAGAAAATGTTAGTAGCTACAATAAAAAACAAAACTAAATTGCTATCGTTTTAAGTCTTATGAAGTATGAAAACGTAAGTCTAGGAAAAATACAAAATTGATTTAATAGATTTGAGTTTCTTATAAGATTATATTATTTTTCTTTTTGATTACTTGAGTTTTGCAGGAGTAAAGTGTCAACATAGTTTGAATATGAGCGAATTAAATAATTTATTCTATGTTCGATTTCTCATTTGGTATTTGTGCCAGCTTTTTTCTCTTTCTTTTTTTCTTCTCGAGCGATAACACAACTGCCCCATTTTTGTCTCATTCTGTGTAGTACCGCTGTTCCATGAGGTTGTATTTCTGCTTATTTTATAAATGTGAGCAGGGCGTACAGACAAAGCAGCGCTAAATAAGAATAATCGTTAGCTGTATTAAGGGTAGAAGCGGTGAATGAAGAATAAGAGAAGAAGATGAAAAAAAAAGGCGAAGACACAGAAACAGGGAAAAAAGTAATTTTGCTTTCTCTATCATCTAGCCTTTTTCTCGCACATCTTTTCTATTGACTTCAAATTTTTAACGAGAGGTAAGACACATCTCGTGTTAATCTTGACAAGAACTTATATTTTCTATGACGACCGACATTTCATTGCTAAAAATGAGTAACCAGATGAATTTTATCAAATCAAAAGATAGAGAAAATATGAATCTGAATGCATCAGTCATAAAATAAACAAAACACTTTTATCCGCCTATATTCACAATATTTCTGGTATTTTGTATCGAAAAGAACTTGACGGAAATACACTTGCCTTTCATCTTCTTCTTTTGTAACCGATAGCAGCGGCCACTGTTGATTGAAGTCATGAAATGTTTAACTTATAAATTCACATCGAGTCTTTTCTTTTAGACCTTCTAAATTCTATAAGTTAAACAAGTATTAATAGAAATATATATGCGACAAAAAGAAAACAATTAAATAACAATCGATCATGATTATACTCAAATTCAAGTATGTATTACGATTATAAGAAGAAAATGATTTTTTCTTGTTTTTGCGTATTGTATTTGTGATCTTTTCATGGATTCGATTTATTAAAGTTTAAAAACGTCTTTATCTAAACATGCAAATAACATCTACAAACATTTTATTGCTTCATTGTTCTATATTGAATAGTAAAGGCAGAAGATTTGTGTTTGCATGCATATTACACAATTTTATTTGGTTATTCATTCGATTTCATTCACGTCTATGTTTTTTCTCTTGCTGTTTCCTATGCATACACAAGAACTCTATGAATAAATGTGTGTAGAATAAAAAAAAAAACAGATATTACTTATTGTTATCAATTAAATATAATTTGAACATGTCGAAAACGCAAAATAGTACAGACGAAGATGATGTTAGCATATTTTTATGCTTATGATTAATATTACAAAATAAGCTTTTTTTTCCTTCTGTTCTTTCATCTAGAACTGTCAATGTTTTCAGATGGTCGATCATTTTTGCCAGTAAGTCTTCATATATTCTTGTAGATAAAATAATTTATTATTCTATCATAGTTTCATTTTTACTCATCTATATATCAGTAACTCAATTATCTAAAGCTAGTTTATATGGTATATTTAATATTTTTACAGTTGATTTTAATGATGATTCATATAAAAATTTCCATGATAATAATAATAATATAAATCGTACAGATGAAAGTCACATATTACTTGAAAATTTTTCTCAATATGAATTTGAATTATTAAATACTCCACTAAAAATATTTTTCGTTCAAACATCTGAGAATGAAGACATTCTATCTCGACATGCTTGCTCAATTGAATCAGCTGCACGTTTACATACAAATGGTCTTATATTTGTTTTTATGCGTAGTCAATATATTCATTTAAAAAAAGGTTCATTCAATCGTTTACGTACATATGCAAATATACGTTTTGTTCATTTTAATGAATATGATATCTATTCAGGTACAATATTATCTCGATTAAATGAAACTAAACGTACACAGTTTATCCGTTATTTTGCTATATCACATATGAGTGATTTTATTCGTACAGCACTGTTATATAAATATGGTGGAATATATTTTGATCTTGATGTAATTCCATTAAAAACATTTTCGTTATTTTCAAATACGGTTGCACTTGAATCAAGTGACAGTGTTAATGTAGCTGTGTTAGTATTTGAAAAACAACATATAGCATTAGATATACAAATGGATATTCAATTAACGTCAGTTAATACACAATTTAATGCTTTTTGTTGGAATTGTGTTGGACCATCAGCATTATCCGATGCTTTAAAACGTGTTTGTGACGATAAAAAATTATCTATACATTCAAAAGATAAATGTCAACAAATTGATATTCAACCATCATTTGTTTTTTATCCGATAGCTTATCAAGTAAAAATTTTTCTTTAAAAAAGAAAACTAATTTCGATTGCTTTTTTTTCTATTAGAAAATTCCACAATTTTTCCGTCGCTCAAAACTCTTCGATGATATCAATTATTTAGTAAAAAATTCAAGTATTTATTCCATACATTATTTTCATCATATGACAATGAATTTACCTGTTGAAAATCTTTCATCATTTGCTCGTATAGCACAAATTTATTGTCCACATGTATATGAAGAATTAATTGATCGAAAAGAATTTACTTTAAAAAGAACTCAAACATCAAAATATTTATATACCAATTTAAATATCCTTTTATTTTGTTTAAGTATTTCCTTCTTATCTATTTTAATACTTTTCTTGGCTGGTACTCTTTTATCATATTTAACTTCAATACGTGTTGTTATACTTGAATTACAACATAGATTTAATATAACTATTTGAAAAATTTTATTTGCAAAGGTGATGAAAATATAAAATGAGTCTATGTCAGATGTTTATTATTTGTTGTAATTGTTTCTTTTTTTTTATAATAAAATGATTGAACAGTGATGTCGTCTTTTGTTTTCAAGGTATTAATGAGACATTTTGTATATATTAAACATCGTAATAGGACAAACTAAAGCTTCAGAAATTTGCATTCCATTACCTCTATCTAGCATGAGCATTTTAAACAATACATGTCAAGATAACTCATCTTGTGAAAAAGAACAATTATTTATTAGATGGACTCAAAATTCGACTTATACTAATTTACTGGTTTCAAACATTTAAAATAAACAAGACACTCTAAAATGACAAAAAGACAATCATGAAAGCTTCAAAGAACTACCATTTATAGGTGATTAGTTAGATAGACAGTATACTCACTCTAATAAATATAACCTTTTTCTTCAAACTTTAAACTTTTACAAATATTTTCTATAAGAAAGAGTTTCAATCTTCCGTTAAACTCTTGACAGTTTATGTGAACACATGAGCTACTCATGAACTTTTAATGACAATAAATACCGAAAGATTTATTGAATAATCTGCAATTTATCTACATTTTATAGTCATCTGTGTTTTCATTATTATTTGACTATGTGGTTTGAAGACCATCATATGAACGATTATAAAAGCAAA